TTCTTGATCTTGTCACCGATGAGATGTTCCAGCAGTATCACGATAGCTGCTTTTACGATTTTGAATCCAGCGTCGCTGAAACAGCCGTCTGTAGTGTCGAAACTGGGTTTAGCATCCGCATCAGACGGTATGGTGGGCATGTAAGGTCCGTAGTCTGCACCCAAATTATAGCTCCAGTCCTTGTGTGGGTCCGATGGTGAGCCGTCGCCGTTAGTCAGAATATGGTCGAGAGCGTTGTCGTCGAGAATGCTGCCGAAAGAGATTCCGCAGCTGCACACATGACTGGGGTCTGTAGCGTTGTCTTCTGCCATGGTTTATATATGTTGCTCGGGTGGGTCCGGTCGCCGGAATTTATGTGGGATGTAGAGGAGGGGCGGAGTCGTTCTAGCATTTCAACCACGGTTTGTAAAGACGCTTGGGAGGGTCTGAAAGCTGAGCTTTACGATGACTGTAGTGAATGGGCGTGGACGGTCTAGTAAATGAACTGCTCCGTGCGCATCTCTCAGGGTTGAACAGCTGCACTTTGATTTTGTTGTATCCGTCGTGCATGTCACACCATTTGAACAATTTGTTAATGGCTGAAAAAACACTACTCAGCAGATCCAGATCGCACCAATTGAACAAAAATTGCAATTCATACAGATCGTGATGCTCGCTAGGATCGATGACTCCTGACCTTGTGCTGTTGAGCTTTGTCTTGTCTTTACAGCAGAATATGTAGACGGAATCATCCGACTTCTTTTTAGTATGGTCGCCAACCACACGGTACCGGACGTTCGGAGTCACCCCGTCCCATTCGGCGGTGTACAAAGGCTCTTCGCCGACGTCGTGCAGATCCTTCCAGACAAATTTGTAAAATAGAGACCAGTCTTTTTCAGGAAATACAACGCAGGCGTCTTCCCCAGGCTGGAACTCATCCACACCATCGGTGGTGTAGAGCATCACAAAACGCGAGGGTTTGTGAAATTTGTACCCGAATACGCGGTTACTACACATCGTGTATTCAGCTTTAGTCCATTCCGTATTTTCGTGGAGAAAGTTTGTCAAACGCATGTGACCCGCGGGCTTTTTCGGTGCCATAGTCAGACTTTCCATCATCACGCGGCTCAGCTCCGTGTCGGGGGTTTTAGGGGAGGATAAACCGTCCATACTCACGTAGCTCATGTTTTCCCCGCTTATGGCTTTCTGTAGAACAGCCCGACAAATTTATAGCCCCTGCTTCAGGAATGCGGAGGGTATCATGTAACACACCCACACACACACACACACACACAGATGCAGTGACCATGGCTGTCATGAAAAAAGGCCGGTGAGCAAGAGAGTCACTCGGAGGAACATCTTTGGGGAACGTCTGATAAAGTAAGATGATTTTATTTATTGCACACCGCTTCAATGTTTTATTCTATAATACCTCCGGATCAAAGACAACTGTCAAAATAAATGATTATACACCCACATCAAAGACAACTGGCATATCCAGATCAAAGACAACTGTCAAAATAAATGATTATACAACCACATCAAAGACACCCGGCATAACCCAGATCAAAGACAACTGTCAACTTGATCGATCGATAGGTCAAAGGGTCATCCCTAGATCAAAGCGACCTCCGGGACACACTCCGGAAGGTCAAAGGTTAGCCCCGCCCACCTGTCAATCATAGGGTAATAAATCATCTTGACACAATGTCCGGGGTATTACTACTTACACTGTTAAAAAAATCTACTTCATATAAATGCTGTTCTTTCAACTTTGTTCATCAAATAATTCTGCATAAAATGTTTCATGGTTTCCAACAAAATATGAAACTGTTTTCAACATTGATAATAATAAGAAATGTTTCCTGAGCAGCAAATCAGCATATTAAAATTAATTATCATCATGACTGGAGTAATGATGCCGAAAATTCAGCTTTGATCACATGAATAAATTACAGTTTACTATGGCATAGAAAACAGATAGCCTATGTTCAATTGTAATATTACAGTTTTTACTAAGAGAAATAAAAATCTTACAGACCCCAAACTTTTGAACAGTAGGCTAGTACTATAATTAGGGTAGTTTTGTAAAAGTCACTGACTAATTAAAGGGGAGTTGAGAGCACAAATCACAAAATATTTAGGCCTAGTAGTCATGAAAACGTGTTCAGATTTAGCATATTAATGATGCATTCACCTCATAAATCATGACACACTGCTATAGCACAGGAAAGTGCATACAAGTTCAAATGCATGCTTTTAAAATGAAAAAGTATCGGTATCGGTATCGATATCGGCGATACTGGCCCTGTATTTACTTTGTATCGGATCGATACAGAAATTTGCAGTATCGCCCATCACTAGCCTGTGAGTCCGGGCGAGCCAGAGTGAGCTCTGCGGTCTTGGCCATTAGTTGATTTACTCGTTTTTTTTTTGTAGTAATACGTTGTCAAATATGTTTAAACTCAAATAAGCTACTTAATACTAGTAGTTATGTCTCTTTGTATTAATTCGTCCTGTTATTGACGTAATGCTCAAATATGTTTTTTTAGAGGGAATATACAAACGCCATTTGAGCAATTTTGACAGCCCTAGTATGCGTACGGTAGCTGTTACGAACACTGGTCATAGCATTAAGTAATACCAACGTTGTTCCGTGCTTTTTGTGGGAGATTTATTCAGCGACCACCTGGCTGAGGTTTGGACGCGTGTGGTGTGTGTCTCCCTCGCCATCGCAGTGATATTAGAGACTAGACTGCTCATTTTATTTTATGTAGAAAAATTTAAACCATGGCAGTAAATAGTTCGTTACTTTTAAAATGAAGTACAGTTTGCACTGTGCACTTTATAATGCTGGTTGCTACTGTGTGCAATAGTGTAATTATTTTATTTATGCTTAAATATTTATTTTCAGCAGTGAACTTTTTTTTGTTCTACCTCATGTTTTTAATATTTGTTAAATATTGTTTATCTACTTGTTCTTGTTCTACCTCACATGTTTTTATTATTTGTTAAATATAGATTTTTTTACGTTAAATAAATGTTACTTTTATTAAATTGAGACCTGTAACATTTGTTAACATCATGTCATTTTTATGATGTAAATTGAGGGAGCAAAATGTATCAGCTCCAAATATCGGCTCAAGAAAATCGGCAGCCCGTATCGGTCATCGGCTAAGGCTGATGGGGAAAAAATCGGTATCGGTATCGGCACTAAAAAATCCATATCGGTCGATCCCTACCAATTAGTATGTATAGTGATGATTAGGAGGCCATGATGGACAGAGGCCAAGGGGCAAATTTGGCCAGGATGCCGGGGTTACACCCCTACTCTTTTTCGAAGGACATCCTGGGATTTTTAATGACCACAGAGAGTCAGGACCTCGGTTTAACGTCTCATCCGAAGGACGTTATGTTACATATCACCTGGTGGATATCATAATGTTACATCTCACCCCAGGGTATGTTACAACTAACCCAGACTATGGGGTGAATTGTAACATTTCACTCCTCGTGTTTGAAACTAAACCATGCATTTTCTGTTTGAGTTGCAAAGATACAAGTTATGTCATTTGATAGCAGACACTTGTAACTAGTTTGAATCACATTTTGAACACACTGGCTTAAAAGTACTCCAAGATATAGACAGAAAGGTCAAAAATGTTACAACCATCCCCGGTCTCCCCATATTGAGAATAGCAGAGGGCCTAACACCGATCCTTGCGGCACTCTATAGTCTACTGACGTTATCTTTCCCCATTTAAACAGACAAAATGGTAACGGTCCGATAAGTACGATCTAAACCAGCTTAATGCCTGTCCCTGAACACCAGTGTAGTTTTGTAGTCGATCCAAGAGTATTTTATGATCGATAGTGTCGAACGCAGCGCTAAGATCGAGTAGAACTAGTATTGAGATACAGCCTTGGTCAGAAGCTAAAAGTAAATCATTTGTCATTTTAACTAGCGCAGTTTCTGTGCTATGATGTGGTCTGAATCCTGACTGAAATTTTTCATAGATATCATTTTCTTGCAAGAAAGAGCACAATTGAGCGGACACAAATTTTTCTATTATTTTAGACAAAATGGAAGATTTGAAATGGGTCTGTAATTTGCTAGGTTATTTGGATCTAATTGCGGTTTGTTAATGAGTGGTTTTATTCCTGCCAGCTTGAATATTCTTGGAACATGACCTGAAAATAAAGACGAGTTAATAATATTGAGAAGCTCTTCCACTACAGGTAACACTTCTTTCAGTAGTTTAGTGGGTATTGGATCTAATAAACAACATGCTGTTGGTTTAGTTTATTTAGCTCTTCCTGTCCTATCGTTGCAAAGCGGTGTAGTTGTTCTTGAGGGGCGATAATTGAGGCTGAATCATAAGACACCATAAAAGATTGTATACAATTGTGTTTCTGATGCTTTCTATTTTCTCAGTGAAGCAATTCATAAAATCATTACTACTACACTGTAACGTAATATTTTGCTCAGGTGATGTCTGTTTATTTGTTAGTCTAGCCACAGTGTTAAATAAAAACCTTGGATTATTTTAGTTATTTTCTATTAGTTTGCGGAGATGCTCTGCCCTGGCTGCTTTTAGAGCCTTTTTATAACGTGACATACTGTCTTTCCACGCGATTCTAAAGACCTCTAAATTAGTTTGTTTCCATTTACGCTTTAAGTTACGAGTTTCTCTCTTGATAACATGTGTAGTGCTATTGTACCATGGTGCTTTAGTTTTCTCTCTAATCTTTTTTTAATCTAATTAGTGCAACAATGTCTAATGTACTAGAGAAAATGGTGCTCAAACTGCTGGTCTTTTCCTCTAGTTCATTGTTTGTTTGGGTTCACTGAGCAGCTGAGATATATATTAAATTCTTTTCCGATATTGGTAAAAGTGGTGTCTTGTAAATGATCTTAAATCTCTCACTACACTATGGTGGAGCCGTGCTTATTCTACATATGGCAAGTCGTTTTAGCTTAAAATGTTCTACATCTGCACTTTACTATAGAGTAAAATCCGTGATTCTGGAACCGGGCCTGCTCTTTATATACTAATCCATAAACAGCCACAGGAAATCTTCAATATGGATGCTGGTTTTGTATTTTCAAAGTTTTCTAATTTTAAAATGTCTGAATAGCCTACTAAACTGTGTGTGTGTGTGTGTGTGTGTGTGTGTGTGTGTGTGTGTGTGTGTGTGTGTGTGTGTGTGTGTGTGTGTGTGTGTGTGTGTGTGTGTGTGTGTGTGTGTGTGTGTGTGTGTGTGTGTGTGTGTGTGTGTGTGTGTGTGTGTGTGTGTGCGTGTCAAATTTATCTGATCAGTGTTGCAGTGTTGTTTCTATTTGTTTTTGAGTTCAGCCAGTGAAGACAATGCAATAGAAATTATTTTATATCATCACGTTCAATTTCTGTTTTGGCTCTGTAGATTCAGTTGCAATATTTGACCGGGTGGATATTTTTCATTGTGTTCTCTGTGCTTTACTGTAATAAATCTTGTGGTTTTGTGTCATTTTTTTTCTATTGCAGAATGAAAACCATGAATGCTGTAAATGCAGTGCAACTGTTCATTCTGGTTTGGACTTTTACTGCTGTCTGTCAAGCTGATGGTAAGAGAATAAACTTTCCCCTAGAAAGAGTGTGAGAGAATTATGAGGGGGGACTTAATCTAAGATCATGAAGAAAAAAGGTCAAAACTTATTAAAGGGGTCTTATAATGCCATTTTCATACAAGTTAATTTGATTCTTTAGGGTCTAAATGAAAACTTTGTAATGTACTTTAATTAAAAATTCTCATTAGTATTGTAAGAAAACACTAAGTTTACCTGGTCAAAAACAGCTCTGTTTTCAGCACGCCGTTTCAGTGCATATGCCTTTAAATGATAATGAGCTTCGCTGACTCCGCCCCTCTGTTCTGCGGGTGTTTTGATACAAGGCATGTGGAGTGTTTCCTTGACAACAGTTGAGGGTATATTTTGGAGAGAGAATGGCAGCGGGAGTCTCTGAGACACATCTGTGCAATCGTATCAATTTGAACCGGTGTCGGACCCGGAACAAGATGACGGCCGCAAAGAAGTTCGACAATTAAGGCTCGAACAGGACGTTTCTGAATGGTTGGTTAACGTAATGTCACTTTGATCTATCTTTGTGTACTGGCAGGGTAGAGTAATGAGATACGAACGCTATGTGTTAACTGATGTATACGTTAGTTCATTGACAGATTGACGTTACAACTAATGGTCATGATAACCTTTTTTTCGCGATTTGCAAAGATTAATATAAAGGTTAATAAAACTTTATACTTGCTTCTCCTGGAGGTGCAGAGGGAACATAAATAGTTGGTAACGATTCTTTTTTCAGGAGCAGCTTCTTACCGATAAAGCAAAAACCAGCTTTATACTGATCCTCGTTTATAAAGCAGTCTGGTGAGAAAAGATTTGCGAATCGCGCAAACATGAAAGCATTGACGTTGCTCGTCGGGAATATTCCCTTCGAAAACAAAACTCAGCCACTGCGTCTTCAGCGGTTCGGATTTAGGAACATTAAAATGACTGTGTTCGTTATTACACCGATGAACAGAACACCACAATCGCTTAGAGACGCCATTCTGCTCCAGTGTATCAACAATGACGGACTATGATTGACCGCTCGCTCAGGGAATCGCTCAGTGTTGAAACCCTGCTGTCAATCAACAATCGCGGGAGGGGCTTCCGAGCGTGTGACGTCACACGGTCGAACGGCTCGATTTGAGACTGGGAAAAACATATAAGGAGATTAAAACAAAAACACTGGATAGATTTTTATCATTATATGATGGTTGTGTACAGACACTGCCAACACACATTTCAGTACAATCAACTTGAAAAAGTGCATGTACCATTATATGACCCCTTTAATAGATATAAAACACAAGTGGCTCTTTTTGCAAGTTTATCCAGGTCAGCCCAAGTGTTTATGCCTCTATTACTTCCTTCCAGGGATTCAGATTCAGATTTACTATTTGAAGTGAATCATTTTGAACAATAGAGGGAAATCAATTTCCATGACCACTGGATCTTGAGTTTCTCAGCTGACTCTATCTGATGCACATGAGTAAAAGAAACAGTCAGGATATTGCATGCAGAGACTGTAGTGTATATATTGCTATTGAATATATAAACTATAATTCATAATAAATAATAAAATATGTGACCCTCCAGATGTAAAAAAAACCCCAGATCATTATTATTGTTCAGTTGCTGTATTATATGTATGATATACATTATTTTTCAGATGATTTCAGTGTAAGCTGTGAGGATGTGACTGGAACTGTGAGTAAAGAAGTAACTTTAAACTGCAGCGTCTCTCTGAAGAAGTCTGAATGCTGCGTTACAGTGTTTAAGTTTTATTACACTAAGAACAATACTAACTCTGAAATCTGTAGAGAAGAGTTTCCTCTTAAACCCTGTGAACAGAGAAACAGCTTCACATGCAGCTTCAGTTCAACTACAGTAATGACGGAACAATTCAGATTCTTTTTGCAAGCAGTGTGTGGATGGGAAGTAACACAATTTTCTGTGAACATAACAGGTACAGTATATAATACTATTATTTATAATTCAATAAATGTTTGCAACTCTACATTTCTTTTCATCAGAAATGTTTTGTGAAGTTTGTGAGGAGAATCTGTCTGATGTTTGATAGGCTGAAGTTGAGTTTGTGATTTAAACAATTATTTAAACCGTTTAATTGCACTTTTTCAGAGCCAAGGAAAGGAGGGATTCCTGGAGCAAGAACGGGAGATAATCATGGATTAGGATATCTAAGATGGAACACCTTCATCGCTGTAGTTGTGGGCTGTTTCATCATCATCATCATCATCATCATGACAATCATTTACAAAACGAAACTACACTACAGAAAACCTTCTGATTTGCAAAAGAAGATGCTTCTGGGTCACAGACATGATGATGACAACAGCAACTGTCCAGAAAATGAGATCTGACTCAGCAGAAAACTTTGAGTTTTGAACTTTAAATGTAAAGATCAAGAAAGACAAAAGCATTATAGGAACTCCATAAACTATATCTGTACATACATTGCTATCTGTTATACCTCAAATTACTGAACTATATAACTCTATATAATCTTTCTATATAATACTGTAGGTTATCGATCATCACTGTCAGGTCCGAATAAGCTTGAGTAAGACTACAGTGCACATCCCTACACACACACAGACAGACAGACAGACAGACACACACAGACACACAGACACACAGACAGACACAGACACACACACACAGACACAGTACTGAGGTATGATTTATACTGAATTGATGTATGCTGTAAATGCAATCAACATTTTAATAATATATTTTGTCATATTTTAAAGAACTTTTCACAAAACGGTTCTTCAGGGAACCAAAAATGGTTTTCCTGTGTCATTGACGTAAAAAACCCTTTTTGTTTCTTCATGGCACCTTTATTTTTAATGAAGTCAAGCTTATATTTAAACATTAAGAAGTAATGCAATAAAAATAATGAATGTCAACTTTGTATTTGTTAAATTATATCAAAGTGATTTTTTTTTTTACTTTTGATGTTCTGTACCTGCAATTTTCTAATGCTGGAAATAATGTGGTTTTGTACAGGATTCTTTTCCTAAGAAAAATGGAATGAATAAAAACGCCTGTGATGCTATCAAAAGATAAATATCTGGAAACTTTTGTTTTCTCATCACATACAGTATACCAGTAAAACTAAAGTGAAGGGTAGCCGCACAGAGATTATCTGAATTTATGCCAATAGATATTTGTAGATTTTAGAAGAGATTTGTGACCCTGGACCACAAAACCAGTCTTAAGTTGCACGGGTATATTTATGGCAATAGCCAACAAAACACTGTATCAAAATTATCGATTTTTCTTTTATGCCAAAAATCATTAGGATATTAAGTAAAGAACATGATCCATGAAGATATTTTGTAAATTCCCTACCTTAAATATATCAAAATGTTATTTTTGTAAGTGGATGCAGCACAATCGCCAACAGAAATGGAAACCTTTAAAGGCGATTTTTTGCACCCTCAGATTCCCGATTTCAAATAGTTGTATCTCGGCCAAATATTGTCCTATCCTAACAAACCAGACATCAATGGAAAGCTTATTTATTCAGATTTCAGGTGATGTACAAAATGGACACATAAGACTGATTTGTGCAGGGTCACATTTGCAGAATGATTTCAGTTTTAGTATAAGCCAAAGCCTAATGATTTTACTATAAGTTTAGAGATAAGCAATGAATTATATTTGTGAATTTGGCAGATGTTTTTATCCAAAGCGCCTTAAAATCAAGCTTTACATTTGATCAGTTCATGCATTCCCCAAGAATCGAACCCATGACCTTGTCTAAGCTTTACTGCCATATCCTCTTCTGTTTGAGTGACATCTTTACCGTTCTGAGAGAGAAAACTAAAGATCCTACAGCTGATAAAAGCAAACAACTGTCAAGTGTCGAACATTCAGAGTTGAGAATCAAATCACTCATTCATCAGATAAAATCAAATCAAGTGTGTTGAATTCAATCAGTAACTTTCCGTCCACAACAAACGAGAAAAGTAGTTATAACCCGTCACCTTGTGTCAAGATGATTTATCACCCTATGATTGACAGGTGGGCGGGGCTAACCTTTGTCCTAGTTACCCATCGATCAAGTTGACGGGTGGTTTTGACCTGTTGACCAGGGCTGCGTTCCAGTCCAAAATTGACATGCCCTTCACTCACTAACTTCCCTCCGTCTCGTTCCGTCCCGAGATCTGTGGTGATGTCACAATCGTACTGCATTGTGGGAAATATAGGTGCCTGAAGTGTACATATGAAGTAGACTCGCTCCCTCTGTCTAAATCGAGGGAACGAGTGTCTGTCCATATAAACTTCCCTCGTCCACTTTGTGAAGTGGAACGCACTTCAAAATGGCGGCAGGGATTCCCCTGGGGTGAAGTGCTTAGGGAAGTTCGCAAGTGTGATATATGAAGTTGACACATAGTTTTGACCTATTGACCTGGGTATGATACGTCATTTTGACAGTTGGGTTTGATCCAGGGGTATTATACAGTGATGTGAATAAGTTTGGACACCCATGCTAAAGTTGCCTAAAAAGAGGAATAAGAATCATCTTTTGGAAATTGATCTTAATGCCTTAATTTAAAAAATGATGAAAAATCCAACCTTTAAGGACACCAATTTTCTTTATGAATGAATAATGTATCATAAATAAATAAATGTTCTTCCTTAAAATACAGGGTGCATAAGTCAGGCTTATGACTGTGTTATAATTAAAATTATGACCTATGTTAAATTCCCAGAGAGTCAGGCAGATTTTTATTTTTAAAGGCCAGTTATTTCATGGATCCAGGATAATAAGCATCCTGATAAAGTTCCCTTGGCCTTTGGAATTAAAATATCCCCACATCATCACATACCCTTCACCATACCTAGAGATTGGCATGGTTTTATTTCAGTTAGCCTAATAGTTTGATTTGCATTGAGAGATGATCTCATGGAAAGTACCCCAATCTCTAGCTATGGTGAAGGGTGTGTGATGATGTGGGTCTATTTTAATCTGGGTTTCTCCCAAGTTTTTTTTTTTTCTCCATTCTGTCTCCTGATGGAGTTTTGGTTCCTTGCCACTGTTGCCTTGGCTTATGGCTTGCTTAGTTGGGGACATTTACAGTTTTTTACGATTGCTATGACAGATTTTTCAATACTTTTAACAATTTTCCAAAACTCTTAACACAGTTATCACTACATCCGTCTGTGTAAGCTATACTATTAACGCATTTCTTGTTGCTTTAACACAAAATGCATACAATTAACACAAATTTAAAATGCTTGAACTTCTTTTACACACAAGCTTAAACAAGACCAAAACAATGGATTTTTACTGCCAAATTTACCAGTGCTTTAACACTGTATGTCAGAACAGATAACACCATGTTCTAAACCTAACATTACAGGCTAAAGTCAAGGCAAACAGCTGTTTATATTGTGAATTGAAACACAAATATATCCCCTGTATTTTATTCTATTGTTACAGCTGATTGAATTATGCAAATATATAAATCACAGCTGATTTCTAGGAAACACATTCAGGGGTTGAGGTTCTTTCAATTGCATGACCATATGGTATACAGTAAAAGAGGACCTTTTTGGCGGATCTTTTGTGGAAAGAGAACAATATAGAGCAAAAAAAAAAAAAAAATGTCTGCACTAGGTAGAGGAAGATGTGTACCAGGACAAGGGAGAGGAGTTAGAATGAGTGGTGGCGCTCAAAGAAGAGACAGAGCTAGGGTAATGAAATAAGACCTGCACTTGTGCCAGATGTAGAAAGGGGACAGGTGAGAGACCACTTGCCAATATACGTGATCACATGGGACAATGTGGCATTCCACCATTCCCGTGCAGTCACAGCATTGACGCCCATCCTAGATGTCCCTTTTCCTTGCCCCTTACTCCTCTTTCCTCAACCCCATTGATGAGTTTTTCTCATCCTGGAGATGGAAGGTTTTTGACCATCATCCACAGGACCAAATGTCCCTCCTGGATGCAATGGTTGATGCATGCCAAGACATCACAGCTGAACACTGCCAGGGGTGGATAAGGCATGCCAAAAGATTATTCCCACAATGCCTTGCCAGAGAAGATATCAGGTGTGATGTGGATGAGAACATGTGGCCAAATGCAAAAGACCGGGCAGATTAGAAGATGACTCTTTTTTTTCTTTTTTTTATTCTTTTTGTGCTTTTTCTGTTCGTATATTTAGTATTTTCACATATAAATGGCAGCTATATTGCATATTTTGTTATATTTCAGTAATGTTCTTTTGCAAATAAAGTCTTTACTCTATTGCAGCAATTCTGTCTCTGTCTTTTTTTCATAAACTGTACATTCTATAAAGCTACTCTGAGATGGTCATTCATTTTTTGTATTGAATTTCTGCAGCAAAAGAAACAAAATGCATGCATTTACTAAACCCAACCAAACAAAAATGTAGAGAGGCTTCAAAAGAAACTACAGTGCAAAACACAATCTATGATCAATACAATATACTGTCTATTGTATAAGGGCATACCTGACACATAAAATAATGCAGTTTCTGTAATTTCAGCTGATGATAGTGTTTTTTTTTTGTCATTGTGTTATGATTGACTAAATGTTCCTGTTGGAAGAGAACATGTGTTAGTGTTTTGAATAATTATTTGATTTTGAGACATGTTTGCAGTGTTTTGTTAGACATAGTGTATTGTGTTAGTGTATTATTGTATTTTGAAAATTAGTTTTGGAGTTTAGTTTACAATGTGTGATTTTGAACATGAAATTAACCGTTTTGCCAATTGT